AGACCACCGCTGTATACAACACACAATGCCCAGAAACAGCAAATAACGTACTGCTGCCGAGTTACCTTGCACGCGGTTGCCAACGTTCATAACTTTTTTGGAGTGCATTCCCGATTTTGACGACTGCTTTTTGAGGATTCATTCCCAGTGGATCAATCCAGCATTCCCTCCGTGCACAAGGATTTGGCTTATGAACATCTGGTGGATCGACACCAATGTTCAGACATAGCACAAGGGCTACCGAAACTGTTCTCATACGTTCTTTTGAATATTTCCGCCTGCAATACTTTTTGCAATAAAACAGTTTAAATAGCTGAAAATTCATAAAGTCCATTTTTTCCAAGACGTCCTGTCCCAATGAGTATCATCTTCCGAACGAATTTACGTCTCGAATTTACGTCAGGCAATAAAGATTCTGATTATAAAATAAAACAGCAGAAAAAAAATAAATTTATTAATAAAAGACATGCCATAAATCTCTATCAACAATTTCTTCGTTAATACCCACAATTTTCACCACATGTCGCAATTCCTGAAACCATGTTGGCAATGGTGGATCGCTACTCTGAAAAAGACCTAGTATATGTTCTTTAACTCAAAATGACGTTCTATTGAACAAAACGCTCCGATGATACCTTACCTTTCCTCCCAGCTCCATCCCTACACATATTAATGGCATTATGCTGTAACTTCTGTATGAGTTTTCTATGATAATACATACTTCTGTATAATACTCTATAATACAACTCATATTACCAAAACGAAAAATAAGAATTACCCTTATCATCCGATATCACCTATCATAAGGTTATTAATATGATCGGAGAACCTACAACTGGTAAAGTCAGATCACGAAAGAACCAGACTAATTTATATTTGTCAAACTTTCATATGATTATTATCATGATCACTATCCTGAACAGTAGTGTAAATCTATCTGATCATATCTGCTTCAGACTTTCAGGTAAATCAAATTCACTTTTGTCCATTTATGATCGCTACATTTTTTGTATCTTCATGTAGTCCAAACATCTCTCATTAATGTAAATACTTCGCATTTTAAATAAAAAAAGAAAAATGAAAATTTGATATCCAACTTACAGCATCATCCATCGATTTCGATGTGTTAAATGCGTCTTTCAAAAAGTACTACAAAGAAAATAAAAAAGGAAGCTTTATCTGAGATCGATATACACACCCTTATCGAAGCACTGAAGCTTATCGCACATAATCTGCAAACTCATTCAATGATTTATTTCGTAAATTATACAAAATAATGAATTTGTTGCAATGAAGACAAAAAAATAAAAATTTCAAAATCACTTTCAATCACTGCTAATACTAATATGATTTTCGTGGTGCACAAATTTTACTAATCTCTCCTGCTTAACTTTTCTCTTAATGAAGCATCGTATTATGTGAAATCTCATTATTGGTAGTTTCACAACCGATGTTGATTGTTACCTTCCGACAGCAAGAACATTTTTTTTTTTATTTAAGCACTGAAATGTGACACTCTCATAATAAAAGAATCCTCATGCTGTTTGCAATCTCTTGAAATGTGACACTCTTTTTTCTTGCTTTCACACTCTCTAACTGCAACCATCACCTCTCGTTTGGCATATAGGAGAGGTGATGGAGAATTTGATAAAAACTGTGTAGAATGGTAAAAAGACGGAATTCCGATAAATCATCCCATTCCTGAATCCTGATTCCCGTAATTTCCACAGCGGTTCACAAGTCAATCCGCCCGTTACGATAACACGTCATATTTCATTCTCACGTTGCATCTCTATGAAACATGCAATCCCATCCACTTATTTTTGAATTTAAATAATATGAAATTAATTGTGTTAACATCTCTAATGTTTCACGTTACATTTGATGAGGGAATTGCCGTAAGAAAATTAGCTGACTGATTTAGTGATCAAACAAAACTGAATTAGAATTGATATAATTGTAGATCAAATACAAATTTAACATTCATCTCCTAATTAAAAATTTGAAATTATAATTGAACAAAACCGGAAATTGTGACCCATATGATAAGAGCAAATTAATTCAAAACTGCAAGAATTTTGCTCAAAATTCAAATTCAAGGAAATTAATTTAAAGCAAAAAAAAAATATCACAAAATATTTATCATCAACAAATTATTCAAAAACAACTGCATTCAAGTTTCACTCCTTTTTATTCTCATCCCTAAATTTAATGCATCTTCTGAAGTGTGTTAATGCGTAGAATCCGTTACTTATAAAGAATGCTGCAATATATTTACGTATTGCAATTCAAACTTTGTATTTTTTTAATTTGAAATTTCACTCATTTCATCTTTTGAAGCGTGTATGTGTGCGTGTGTTCGTGCATGTGTGTATGTATGTATGTGTGTGTGTGTGTATGTATGTATATGTGTGTGTATGTGTGTGTCTCGATATGCAGAATGCATCACTAATAGGTAGGATAATGCGATATGTCGTTTTAGTTTCTCTTCCAAAATATGCAAATTTTTGCAGCAACAGTTTTGTATTTAAATCAGTTGGAAAGAATCAGTTGCATCATTTTGCAATATTAGTTCTGCCAGACGCTTTGGCTCTCCTGCACGGGTTGACTATTGGCATTTCTCTGGTATTTCTTTGGTGGTGATCTCGTCGGTGCTCCATCGGTTCGTCCCCCACCTAATTTCGCTTAATTGATCAGTGTCCAATTGAGATTTTAATTAAACAGGCTAATATATTCTCCCTGATTAAATTTCAAAAAAGGCTAATATATTCCTTATCATTCAAACATCAAAATTCTAACATTTTATTTACTTGAAATATCCTTCTGCATAAAACAACTATCCAGTAGATTACTATCAAAAGATGAGATCACTTGAAGAATTGAAGCGTGGTAATTTTATTGCGGATTTATTAGCAAAATCGTAAATCCAACTAACAATTAGCAGTTTGCTATGTGTCCTTTAATCTATTTTGTGCAGTAAATTTTACTGTGATAGCAATTTACAAGTGTCTATCATTCCTATGATATGCTATTATCTTGATAGCACATTTCAGCACGAATCAACAATACATATCAATAAAATGAACTTCAAAAAAATGGTATATACGTTTATTTTTTTTTAATTAAATTTCTTTGTTTATTTAAATTTCATTTAAATGAACTATAGATCAATATGATTGAAATTATATTAATACAACTCAGGAAAATCTCTTCATAAGGATTGAATCTTACATTTCCTATTCAATATTTAGAACAATAAATTTTAATCATTAATTTTTCGTTAATTTCTAATTATCACATTATCAGTCCTTATTAATATTTCTAAGTTTCCCTTTTATCGAAAAAATAACCGCCTATATTCAATATATTGACGAATTAATTACTTGAACAAATTTGCATATTTCGAAATACCACTAAATTTACATATTTCTACATACGTTAAATTTGCATATATTTCTTGGCACTATAGCATTAGATTTGCATGCTTATTTCAAAAAGAAAAAGAAATAACTTCAATGCTATGGAATAGTTTTCATTAAATGATTTAAATGTGAAAGTCAAAATTTTATGGAATTTCAGCGTGAAGTAATTTCTGTACATATTGGCCAAGCTGGGGTGCAAATCGGCAATGCATGCTGGGAGCTATTTTGTTTGGAGCATGGCATTCAACCAAATGGCCAAGTGGCTTCTGAATTGAGTCAATCGGCAAAACACGATTCCTCATCACTTACGACATTTTTTTCCGAAACTGCTAGCGGACATTATGTACCGCGAGCTTTGCTAGCTGATTTGGAGCCAACTGTTATCGGTAATCATAGCTTTTTGATTTCACTAAGTATCAAAATTTCGTAAAATTCAGTTTTGTTTATTAATTTCTTAAATTGATATAAACAAGAAAGCATGAAAAAATAAATAAATATAATAATTAAATAAAATGAATCCAGAGAAAAAAAAATAAAGAATGAAATTACAGATGTGGTTCGTACCGGAAAATACAAACATTTATTCCATCCGGAACAAATGGTAACCGGTCGTGAGGATGCAGCAAATAATTATGCTCGGGGACATTATTCAATTGGCAAGGATATGATTGACACGGTGATGGATCGTATCCGTCGTCTGGCCGAGAATTGTGGTGGATTGCAGGGTTATCATTCTATTTTACCGGAAAGAATTTATTAAATATCTTTCAGTGTTTAGAATTTTCTAAACTACTCAAACATACTTTTGGGATTAAAGAGAAAAGAGGAATATGAGGAATGATCGAAAAAAAATGAATAGAAACAGAAGTAGATTATAGAACATTCATTTTAGGATTCCTCCTGTTCCATTCGTTTGGTGGCGGCACCGGTTCCGGTTTCACATCATTGCTAATGGAACACTTGACAATTGATTATGGGAAAAAAAGCAAGCTGGAATTTTCAGTCTATCCGGCACCGCAAGTCTCGACTGCTGTGGTTGAACCGTATAATTCGGTTCTTACAACTCACAGTACTCTTGAGCATGCAGATTGTTCATTCATTGTAGACAATGAAGCAATTTATGACTTATGCCATTACAATCTGAATGTTGATCGACCATCCTATCCCAACCTGAATCGTCTTATCGCTCAGGTTTCCTTATTATAATATCATAGTTTAACGTATGATCATCGTAAATGATCATTAATATTTGCTATTATTAGCTGCCAATTACTCAATAATATTCGACAGTCTTAAATTATCTCGATAATCTTTTTGTACTCAAAATTACTTGTTATGTAATATTTGAAAAAAAAGAAAAGAATGAACAAGAAATATGAAATATTTCGTGAAAAGCATAATGATAGAAATGAAAATGAGTGGTAACATTAATAGTTTACGTTATATAACTGATGAATAAAAATAAGCTTATACTCATTTGAAGTATTTTCAAGATTTTAGAGTTAATTATTAATACAGAGTGTAATATTGATCACTAGAATTAATGCTTGATCAATCAACTACAACTAATTGTTTTTTCAGGTCGTTTCATCGATCACGACTTCATTGCGCTTCGACGGTGTGCTAAATGTGGATCTAATGGAATTTCAGACAAACTTGGTGCCATATCCACGTATTCATTTCCCGCTGGTGACGTACGCTCCAGTGGTATCGGTCGAAAAAGCTTCTCATGAATCTCTTTCGGTTTTTGATATCACCCGAGATTGTTTCGATACTCCCAATCAAATGGTGAAGGTGAATTGTTATAATCATTTAATTTCAACTTTAAATCACTGGATCATTACTTGCTTTATTAGATTATAAACTAATTTCTCACTCTTTAGATCATCTTGTTTTNTTTTTTTTTTTTTTTTAAATTATATAAGCATTTCGATCTTACACATTTTTATGGTTTATTTTGACTCAATTTATTTGACTTTGTTTCGTTTGTTTCGTTTGATTTGTTAGTTTTTGTAATATAAAAATAAACTCCTTCCAAGTGTGATCCATCGAACGGAAAATACATGTCGATATGCCTTTTGTATCGCGGTGATGTTACGCCGAACGACGTTAATGAGGCTATTAATTCCATCCGTCAACGCAGACAGATCAAATTTGTGGATTGGTGTCCTACTGGATTTAAGGTAAATTGCTGCTGTTCAAAATAGTTCAAGAAATCATGAAGTTTTTATGATATATATCTGATTATTAAAGCGAATTTATCTTTTCATCTCATAAAAATTTCTTTTTCTTTCTAAAAAGTTTAAGTAAAATTAAAATTTCCAGATCGGTGTTAATCAACAGCCACCTACAGTGGTGCCAGATGGTGATCTTGCACCTGTACCGCGTGCTCTTTGCATGTTGGCCAATACAACAGCAATTGCCGAGGCATGGTCACGTTTAGACGTTAAATTTGATTTGATGTTTGCAAAACGTGCCTTTGTGCATTGGTTCGTTGGAGAGGGCATGGAGGAAGGTGAATTCATTGAGGCACGTGAAGATCTGGCTATTCTTGAGAGAGATTATGCCGAAGCAAGTATTACTCATTCTTATGAAAATTAAAATTATTCATTTATTCATTCATTTCTTTTTGAATTCACTCACTTTGCAATGATTAGCATTTTACTTCATTTATACTCTCTAATCGGAATTTTCCTAATTTTAATCTATGATTTGAAAGGATGAAATTATGAAAGATGACAATATAACCAGGTTAGGAATTTCTAGTAATTGACTCTTCAAAGTGCTATTTTAGGTAGCTGAAGATGAAGTCGATGAGCCGAATGAACCAGATGATGGCTACTGAAATGAAAAGCTGCAAATAGCAGTTGATTTTTTTATAGTTATAGAAACACATGAATATCCCATTTTCCTGTTATATGGCTCTCTTCAATAAACGTCATTTTGTCGTATTGCACAGAAATGATGCGTTACACAGAAATGCGAAATTCAATAAGATGAATTGTACTAAATAACACAATACCGTAATCAAAACAATATCAATTATCATGAAAAGCTAAATAGGCTTTAATAAGTTTTAATCTAAGACTTTCTAAACACTTGGATTTTAATTTCAATTTAAAAAAATGTAGAGCTGTAAAATGGACTGAAACATAAATAATCTGAGCAAATCTAATATGTTCAACAATCTGTCAGCAATTGAATTATTTGGATGAAAAAGTGTTTATAAAATAAATTATACATGTAAAGTAATGGATTATAATTATAAATCGTATCTTATTTAATTTTGATAGTGTGCAATATCTATCAAATTCATTTTTCAATTCCTTAGCAAATTTGAAATAATTTAAAAGTGACCGTGTTAAAAATGAGGTCGATTCGTTAGGTTATTCATGCTTTCATGATCATTCCTTATTTTAAATTTAATTCTGTATTGAATTATCAATAAATATAGAAGGACAGGTGCATACGAATAGGCACAAACCACATACGAAAGTTTGTAAAACGGAAGTTTGAATATCATATTGTTGTGCTATATTACTGAGACAAAATTTCGCCTCTTCTTTTGCAAAAGTTAAAATAGTTCATAAATTTGACAGTTCAGAGTCGTCTTTTGAAGATTGGCATGGTCGATAAAAATGCAACTGAAAGCTGCGAGCTGATAAAATGTGGAAAAAGGATATTCTTCAATTTTAAACGATAAAATACGAAAAAAATGAGATGGAATGAAGTGATCAAGTTATTTGAAATAAATATGAAATCGGAAAAAATTGAAGGTTTCGCGTAACGAAAATATATTTTCTTATTGACAGCTAAGCTGGACATTGAAGATGGTGAAGCAATCAGCTTTTATATTAAGAAATGATTATGATAGAATTATCCCTTGCTATTGGTGTAATTAATTATGAATTAATTTTACACGTCTATTAATTAACATTTATTTGATTAGAAGAAGTTTAGTACAATTAACCATTTTCTGCTGCCAATATTCCTAAAAAAAAATATCGCACGAATTTCGAGTTTATCTTTATTCTAAATTAAAAAACTTCGGAAATTCTTGCAAAAAAAACATGTTACACAATTTGCAATATACTTCATTCTTCTTTATGAATGGTTATGATTATTAAACCAGTCATATGCAAAGCACACATATTCTAGCGACTTGGCTTAATAACTTATTTTGAAGACAAAAATGAGTGGATAAGCTTATCTGCAATTCCATCGTTTGCAATTCTCTCGTTTCATGTATCAAATACAACACTTGAAAAAAAAAAAAACATAAATGAACTGATCAAAAAAAATTAAGAAACACTTGAAAAAAATCGTTTTTTTAATCGTCTTACATCTTTTCTTCAGGACAAGTTTGAGTGAAATCAATTTAGATATTTGAATGACAACATTCTTTCTTTTATAATACTAATTTTGGAAAGAGAAGCTGAATTTTTGATGACAAACCTTAATAAAATTGCACCACTTCAGCATAAGCAATCAAATTACCACTGTTTCAGAACTTTGCAGTCATTAAGCGTTCAGGCACAATTTGTACCAACAAAAGTTCGTGGTGAAAATGTGATACGAAAATAACAATTTCACTGACTGAATAAATTTCGTGAAGGTTAAAATCAAAATTAAAAAAAAGATCCCATGCTTAGGTGGTTTCTGCAGTTATAGATTTCTTGCTTTCTGCAGCAATCTGGCAGTAACGCAAGGACACATTTAGTTCCCTGACGAATAATCTCATGAATTTCATGAAAATCATGTTATCTCATGAAAAAACTCCTGTAAAAAGTGTAGAAAAAAACTAAAAAAACAACTTTTATTAACTTTCAATACATTGCATTATTCATTTTACTGTCATGTTTGTTAAGAAAACAAAGGAAACATTTACCAACAAGAAAATTGATTACAGAGTATCTTTCAAAATAATAGCTTCCAGAATTACAAAGAAACATTTATATTATTTTCTAGAAAAAAACATAGATTACAGAGAAAAAACTATTTAGGTCACGATGTTTATCAGAAAAATTGAAGTTAAATAGCTGGCTGGAAAAACTGTTCACTTCTATTAATTGTTTTCCTACTTTTTACTTAAATTATATAAGTTTTAGCGTTGAATGTTAAGGTAATTGTATTGATAAACTATTAATCATCTAGAAACGTTAATACTTTCTCTTAAATACATTTAGAACAAAAATATACAACAAGAAGTACATCATTCAGTAGCGTAAGAATTTAGAAAACAAAATTATGTTATAGTAAAGAATTTGTGGATTTCGAGGATTCTTCTGGAACAGTTTCCAACTGAGAACCGATCATCGAGATACCCATTCGTGAACATTCCGAGAAACATGGTGCTGTTTTTTCTGTTGCATGAACGGAAGGAATCACTTCAATTCTGGTTTCCGTGTTATTATATGTTTTCCTTGACCCACTGAAATTTCTGCAGAAAATAATTATGAACAAAAACATAGAAGTTGAAGAAGGAGAAACATGAATGGAAGATATATGAGGCTTTTCACCTATTCACAGTAGTAATGGATAACTCCGACGTTCGTTCACGCTCGTGCGGCATGTCCGTGGCATGTCCAAGGCGGTTTCTTGATGATGACGAATCAAACGGACGTCTTTCTGCAAATAGAACAAAATGCTAAGTGTGAACTAAATGTAAAATAAATTTGAAACTGTAGAAAACCAAAATGGTTGTCAAATTTACTACTTATAGTTTTGATTTTCCTTCGTTCACTATAAGAAACTTCTATGATTTAAAAGATACTATCTGCAATAAATTTCGCTAAATCTTTGCAGGGCAAGGATGGCAATAATATACTACATATAGTGGAAAAATGCTGTTAGAAACTTCACACTAAATGTTGAGGCTAACGAAAAAAACAGTTTGTAGCTGACTATTGGATCATACAATTGATAATAAAAACAAGATTTACCATTATTTAAAGCGCGTATATTCAGCAAAGAGGGTGGATATTGTGTGAAACGCCAGTGATCAGTACGATTGATTACATATACAAGGCAATTAATTTCTGCAGCGAAAACGTACAAAATTATAATCCATATAAGCCAAATTGGAATTAAAACACCAAAGAACAGGAATAACGGTGATTGTTCCATAAATGACGACATGTTCATTACCAAATAGTAGAAAATTTCGTATGCGAACCAAACCATGAGACCGATCTTAAGCGGGAAGTTTTCAAACACAATTTTAATAGAAAATTAGACTTATTCGGAATTATGAACCTGATTCTTGATACTTGTATTTTTTTAAAGAAATTCTTAGGCATCAAGTAGTTTTAAATCTATGTCAAACCTGTATGATGTAAGATGGAATAATGATGAGTTTGGGAGGAATGAAGCAATGTTTTTTTACCCGACGATCCTTTTGATGCATATTATCGGCAAGTTTTAGCGCCCAAATTCCAGCAACAGCTCTGGGAAAAAATTATGCAGAGTTTGATATTGAAAGATCATATGATATGGAAGCATGACAAAATTTATTACCTCAAGTTTTGAAAAAATTTATACAAATCGAGCTATTCTAGGAACGCAACTAGCGATGTGTATTAACAACAACCGTAACTTACTGCCAAAGTTATGATAGATTTAAAGAGATAACGAACCCAGAAAAAATAGCATAAGCAATAAAAGAGTGCCCACAACCAGCTCCATGAGATAATGGTTTACTGGCATTATTAATCAATATTACCAGAGATAAAATGATCATCAGAATCTGCACCACAAGAAAGATTATCTGTAAATAGCATCATTAATAATCAACTTTCGACTTTCAGGTTATTAGAATTATCAAGATCAAAATGCCTTAGCAGTTTATTTTTGTAAAATCATGAGGATCAGAATGCTTTGTAGATAACCGAAGCATAAAGGCAAGCTGCGGGAGTTTTTTAGCAGCTGCCTATTCTTGTTTCCAAGCTATGTTCCGGCGCATTTGAATGTAAAAATGGATCACAAGAAAAAAAGCAGCAAACGTGGCAAAATCAAATAAGCTCACTCTAGAATGTATCTGTGAACAAATCCAGAGATGTCGTTGTCGCCTGGTCATAACAGACGAAGTCAGATTAATGGCATCCCTGTAACGGGAATTTGCCGTCCGATGTGAATAGATACTCATGGAAATCTAAAACAGTGAAAATAGAAAATTAATTTCTTGTTTTATTTCATCTTTAACCATTTCACTTATCTAAACAAAGATAAGTTAATAATTATTCAGAAATATGCGTTGAATTAGTTTTGTCATAAAAATCATACCTTACATATACGTTGAGTAATATAAATGTATCTGATATGTATCTTAAATTTGTTTCACACAAAAGCATGTATTTATTTGGATGAACGTACAAAATAAACATATTCTAATAAGAAAACTCTGTCTTATAAAATTGTAATTTATACCGATTAAAATTAATACGTAATCTGTGTTTGTGAACAAAAACACATCAGTATTTACATATATGCAAACAATTCAATGGTTAGTGATGAAATATACACGCCAAGATCACAATTCTCATGTAATGGTTCACACAACCTTTCACAGAGCCATGCAATAACGCGGTAAACTGTTAACCTAAAATGACACACACATATATACGCGCGCACATCTCATCCATTTCAAAACATGGAAAGTGAATGATTGCACGTATACATGCTCAATCAGTAAAGCGTATGTTTACAAGTACAAACAACGAAGCAAAAATGTTTAATCGTAAAATAATTCGAACGGATGCTTACGGATGAAGTAAACACGCAAATATCAAAATCCTTACATAATGATTCACGCAATCTCTCACATAATCAATAATAACGCAATAAACTGTTTAGCCTAAAAAGATATACACACATACACACGCGCGCGCGCTCTCATCCATTTCAAAAATGGAAAGTAACTGAATGCACGTATACATGTATAAATACGCGTATACACATTTGTGCACAAAGTGATTGTGTTTTGTTAATGAATGGTGCACAAAAAGAATTAATGGGTTTGCGGAAGTTTCCGATAGACGTATATTTATTTGAAAAGGATTTTCTTTTGGATATCGCTTATAAACTGTAGATATTTTTGACTTACGCATAAGCCTGAAATTTTTTGTTTTCCGTATAAATATCAACTTATGTATAGGTCTGACTTTTTTTTTACCTTGTTTTCCTATTTTTTTTTTCTGTTTGCTCCATTAATTGTCACTAATTTTAATTTGCTTGTGTATATTTGCGAGTTTTTTTTAAACTTCAAAAATTTAAATAAAATTTAAATTTTAGGCAACTTTTTTTTACAGTTTTGCTAAATTATTTGAAAATTTTTGTATATTGTATGTTATTGGCAATTCGATATTATGACAGAACCGAAAGAAGAAAAGAGCGACGATGGAAAAACGGATCGGGTATGAAAAAAATTAAGGATTTATGAGGAGTAGGCATGAAAAAGTGGCTTAGAACGCTATGATTTGGTGGATTTTTTTTTGTAAATTTAAAAAATTTTTAATTTAGAGTGAAATATTGTGAAGTTTTACAAAATTTGAATGATTTTTTATCTTGAAAAAGAAGAATGCACTTAGTGCGGAGTTATAGAACACTATGATGTGCGACTTGATATATATTTCATTATAGGATGTTAAACAGAGAGAAAAGATTAGGGAAATTTCAGATTCTCCGGATATTGGGCCCAGATTTTTTGGATCGAACTGCTTGTCTTCCACCGGATATGCACAACGATTGGATTAGTGTACTTGCTGCCGAAAATAACCGGCGCATTAGTGATGCTGTAATTTTCTGATCTATTTATTAGCGATTAAATAAGTGATTAGTTTGTAATCAGTGATAACAAAATGTTGTCACTAATCCAAACTATAAAAGTTCGGGGATGTTTTCTTCTATTAGAATTTTTACTTTTTTCTATTAATTAATGAATTTAGAATCAGACACGTAATAGAAAGTTTTTAAAACTTTTCCTATAAAGTCCTACACTTTTTTATTCTTTATTTTTATGTAATCAATTCTTATAAGTAGCTTGCAGAATGAATGGAATCATGTGTTTCATACACCTCGTTCCGCTGAATATATTTTTACTGCTTGTACAAGACTTCGCCTACCACAAGAAGTGAAGTACAGTGCACTGTTAATATTTGACAAGTAAGTAAATACTTTGCATGTACTCTTTTCTATCTCACATTTATGAACAAAGGGGTTGTCTAATATCACTAGTTGTCTCCTCTAATATAAACTATATTTTAATAAAATATAAATTGACCGTATTACAACGGTAATTTCTTTACGGATGAGCTTAGTTATAGCTTTATGGTACAGTTAGTTAGTCGCTTGCATGAAAGTGTGTACAACTCGAAGCGATCCGATCGGAAGAAATATCAGGAATGGAATCGTATCGAAGCGACATTATCGCGTCAAACGACGTTGCGAATGCTTTCAGCAATTCAAATTGCCTCTAAAATGCACAGCTACCATGATGTAAGTGTTTCACTTTATGAATTTTACTTTTAAAATTCGAAATAATAAAAAACAAAATTATTTAACATTTCGTGTTACAAATGCTGATAAATAGGATTTTATTATGTTGTGGCTAAATATGCGGAAACATAATGACAGTCTTCTCTTCCTCTCTCTCTCTCTCTCTCTCTCTCTCTCTCTCTCTCTCTCTCTCTCTCTCTCTCTCTCTCTCTCTTAAAAAACCAGTACTTCTGAATCCATAAATTTGTCGAATCATATTAGATTGGAGAATTCTAAAAAGGTTGTTTTGTAGCTCCAATAATAAAACCAAAACTTCATTATCAAAACGTTTAACAGTGTGGTATTGTTTATGTGAAAATATATTGTTTTTCAAATGGAGTCAATTACAGTTTTATGGTACAGTTAATAGGTCGGTTATATGAAATTATATGAAAAAGTTAATTTAAAAAAAACATTATTATTTAAATTACCGATCATGCAACTACTTTCGCATGTGTTTCTCTTTTTTTTTAGAGTTTGTCAATCCAAACTGTAAAGTTATGTTTGAAAACTTTGGGATTTGCTTATACGGAAGAATCTGTTGTACGATCTGAATTGCGCGTTTTATCCATGATCGACTGGGAACCCGCCTATCACTGCACTCCACTCGTTTATATCGAGTCGCTGTTTAAAATTCTTAGTTCGGAATTTGAAATTTTTAAAATTTTCCACAAATTTTTAAACTTTGCCTACTGAGTTGTGAAATTTAGTATTTAAATATTTGCTAAATAATCGAGTCAAAATTTTGTAACATTATTTCATGCTCCTAGCAGTTTATTGGTGCGCAGAATTCATCAACTTATCTTAGTTAAGGACGGAAAATATTTCTTAAATAGGCTCATTCTTAGATGAATTAGATGGGACACTTCAAGGGTATCCATCTTCTTACAAAGGAGTAACTGTTTGGAACGATAGGATAGTCCAAACAATGTTGGTAAGCCTTAATTTCAGAGATGAAATGGGAACAAAATGTTGAAACAGGTAATTACTGGCAGTATATCTTGCTGGTGTTGGATTGTGTTTTCATTCACTGGGATGATGTGTACAAACGGATGATGGCCAATGTAATGGGTCCCTCGGCAGACAACGTCACACGGTTTTTTTTTTCTAAATTATTTCCCTACTCTTTCCATGAATTACTCTTATTACAGGAGCAATGACATTTACTTATATAATCTATGAAGTTTATAACTTTCTCCCTATCATTAGGTGAAGTGCTTATTTTAAAATTAAGAATATTAATAATTAAAGGATATTGAAGTATGGTGTGAAATTTATCGGGAAGTTTCAATTAAATGGCGTTCGGAAAATATGTGCTTTACTTTTGAGTTAGTTTTAACGGATAAAACTTTAAATAGTAGTTTATTCAGTTTCAAAAGTAACATCTGATCGTTATTTTCTGATCGCTATTTGAAACACCCTTTTCTGGTATCATCGATTGGGACAAAAATATCGCTATCAATTTCCATAATTTCAGTGAACAAATGTGTCGCGTACAAGCGGACTGGTTCTTGTTAGCTTGTGGAGTAATCGTAACTGCATCTTGCTGTATCGACGGAATGCAGGCTGCCGATGAAGTAAGCCCCGGTTTTCAGACTTCCAGAAAGAAACCTCCATGAACTTTTTCGGAACGCAATATCTTGCGTGTAGGACATGAAGGATCAGGTTAAATTTTTTCAGATCACAAATGAATTGCACCGATTAAGCAATATTCCACTAGCTGATATAACAGACATGAGCGTTGCTATAATCGAATGCATCATTAGTCATCAAGGATCTACTGTTACCACCAGCATTACTCAAATTTGAAATATTTTGAAGTTCAAAAAAGTCGTGCGCTCTGCCTTGTTAGCTTTCATTAGCAATGTCCATTAAGTTGTTTGGAAAAATAATTCATCCCAAAAATATGCACCATATCAGAAGAAGGTAGCAGAGCTATAAAATTCATATTCAAGGACCCAAATTCAAATATTCAAATTGCAAATGTCAGATGCAATATATTAACAACGCTTTATTTTGTTGAACTCTAGACTTAATAATTGGGTTTTTTTCTTGGACAGTAAGAAGAAAGACATAATAATTGGGTATTGTAACTATAGCGATAGAGAGGATGTGGAAAAAATGTAACAAATGTTAATAAAGTATTAATGGCATAACAGGAAATAAGAAAAATAATATTGAATAAAAATTGGAGCGAGGCCAAATAATAAAGGATAATTTGCAGAAATATGATCAATGCTATCCTAAAACGTCATCGGAATCCAGGAATGAATTGAATCATTTCATCAACAAACAAAAATATTGCCATCTGTTTAGGATCAATGTTAATTTTTCTTTGAAAACGATCATTTTGTAGATTTGTGCAAAATTGTAATATTTTCCGCGCTTTATTTCTTTCTTCATTTATCAACATTAAATGATCCAGTCGTTTCTGGATTTTGATGTACATTCTAGAGCAATTATGATTATATTTATGAGAGGACAGTCGCAATCTATCCTCTTTCCATCTCTACCCTCAACCAGTTAATTTTAATATTCAAACAAGTTCTAAACTTTCGAAACCGAGACCTACAGGTGGTCCAACTGGTTCATTACGTGGGCGCTTATCCGGAAGGAGTTGTGTATCGGCGGCATTGTAGAAGATCCTGAAAAGTATTACATGGTCATCTGTATCACTATAGTAATAAATGATCGCTGCAGGATGACAGAGGTCACGAAAAAATTAAGAAAGCAAGACAGAGGTCGTGAAATGTAAACTCACGGATGGCTGTATTTTTCCTCTATGCTTATGCATGCTGGATAGACTTTCGAACGCATCTTCATCATATGATTTAATCGCCACATAAGCGGCTCTACATGCTCCAATTTATAGCCAGAATATTTGGTCAATTTTATTGACTGGAAATAAGTTAACATCATATCTACAAAGATCCAAATCGAATGTGAGCGGTGAAATTCAACCAAATTCAGCAAAAACAAAATTTATAAAACAAACATACCCATTCTCCAGCTTTTATCATCCTCATAGATAAAAGCAAAGCTGCTGCGGCCATTAAACTGTCCGGAACGCAGATAAATTCGTAGAAAAGCAGCGATGTTTCCAGTACATAACGTGCCAAGGTGAGTGTTTGCATGTCTAAACCTCCAGTACGAGAGTAACGTCGCAAAAAACGATATGAAAGCGGAAAATTGATATCGCAATTAAGTGCGGCCAAGATTTTCCGTTCGTAATTGTTGACTATTTTTACTCTGTGATTGAGAGGAAGGTTTATGAAATCATCCGGAAGAGGTGGACCTTGCTGCTAAAAATGAAAGGGAATAAATTTTATGTATTGTGAGAACTTTTCTACTAAAAATACCTCACCAAAAGCAAACGGAAATTGGTCGAGCGTTTGAGAATATAATTTAGACATTAAGTTGTTAGTAGAGTAAAACGAAGAATTAACCGTAAAACGTACGTCTAGTTTCGCTGCAACAATCATTGCAGCTGCTCCTATATAGTCGAACTGTTCCATATTTTTGGTAGCACACATATAGAGATCAAACAGTTTAACCGTATGGTACAGCACTTCATGATTTACTTCGAAATCTTCTTGACATCGCACGAACCAATCAATAACTTTCGCACGGCGAATTTTCTTCAATTGAGGATGTCTGCATAAATAATCAAAAGGACGAAACTTCAGCTGAAAAAAACATAGCTACAAGCAAAACCTAAAGACGCACTATTATTGCAGAACCGTAATACTCTATAAATCGATATATCGGAAAAATTCAAAAAAAAAGTACTTCGCGATGATGGTAGTAATTGAAGATATCCATTGCATATTCCGGAACTTGAAATGGATCACCAAGATTAGTGGCATCATAATCAAACTCCGGACATGGATCCACCCAAATCTGAAATTGTTAGAATTTCATTTCTGTTCATTAGTTCTTATAGTTATTACTGGTTTTAATCAGATTTAAAAGAATTAATACCAATTTTCTCAACACCCACCATCAGGTCCAAACGTTTGGTGAATTCCGAATCGGATTCATGCTTTGAATCATTGGCACTGAAATAATTTAAATATGAAGAGTTCTTATATTGAATTTTACATTAGATTAGGCTTTTAAATCCTATCATTATCAACTAATCTCGATGCCGTCTTTTGGAACTGATGCCGATACTGACGATTAATATATTAGAATTAATTGACAACTAAATCAAATATTAAATGTACCGAAAGGATTTCCGTTCTTCAGACTTAGTTCGCACAACAGGTTGCACTCGTCTGGGTTTTTCGATATTCTCGTTAGCTTTTGAACCAATATGTAAGGCTGAGCTGATAGCCTGGAATACATGTAATTAAGACATCAGATGAAGATCATTCACAATAGGACTGTCAAACTTACATTGCTCAAATCCGCCAATCCGGTACGTTTATTTTTTTTCGGCAACGCATTTTTTGCATCACTATAGGTCGGGTCAAAATTCCGTTTATTAGCCGGAATCATTTTGGTATGTCCTGAAACAAATTAATTCCGAACTACTGAAATCATTTCACACCTTCTCTTCCTCTCCTTTATTGAATAAAGCGAGAAATTGCAAAAATATCGAAATAATACATGAAATTTTTGCAAATCATAGATTGCGAACGATATTAGTGCTGGTAGCACTAAGTCGTTTTAGCTTTTTCCAACGAAAAAATTCACCTCGAAAATTACCCGATGATCAACAATTCAATAAAGAAGCTGGAGTTCAGTGTTAGTAATAAAATCAGTAGAGTTAGCCCTCCGCAATCTGAAATATTTAAAATTAACCTCTCTTGAATTAATAATCTATTCATCAAGAAAAGATTGGAAAGAAATTTTGAAAGATCTCCAAATGAAAGGTGTGTTATGTTTTCCACTATCATACATCAGGCGTACGTATCTACGCCCGAAAATTTCAATAGAACATTTACTGATTTAAATGCTTTGAACAAATTTGAATATTTTAAACAAATAATATTTACATAAATTTCAAATCTTATATTCCTTTTATTTTCCGCCTCTTCTTTAAATCTTGTACATTACAATTAAAGATTTATTCAACTTTCTTATAATGCTCGATCTGAGTCAGAAATTCCGCATAATATTATATGATATACCAATAGCATAAGAAAATGTTGCATATCAATGGTCAAGCTTTTTCAGATAAAACTTTTTTTGAAATTTTCAACGTTTATTTAATGATCAATGCTATAAATAATTCCTTACTGCAATCGCTCGATCTTGTAGCAAAAAAAGATTAAATAAATTTTTAAATAATTTTGCAATTCAAATAATAAATCGTATGATCCACCTGATTGTAATATATCAGACGTAGTGATATATCGAAGATCTCATCCCCTCACGACAATACTTTTTCCCCTAGGATTTTTTCCCCTCTTTTCAATAGTTTCGCAAACTTTACCCGCCATTCGCCTGGAAAAGATTTTTGGGGTCGCGGAATAATTTTTGTCTGGAAAATTCGAAACAATTAATTGTATCGCTTAGCGCGCTTTTTGATGACCGAACGAAGACAGTTCAGTTAATGCAAGCATCGTTTGAAACGATCGATCGTTTGAAAGATCGACAGAGAGATAGTTTGTAAGTCTGGGAGACAGGAGGGAGTGACAAATGTGAAGAGTGAAATTTGGAAATGGAATTTAGGTAAACACTATGAGGCAAAAAGCATATTAATGAAATAAACAACGGACAGGAAGAATAACAAATTCAACAAAATTATACTTTAAAAAAAAAAGAAATTTTTGTTAGAAAAAAAAACTGATAATGTTAGGGTAACTTGGAAAACAGTAATGAATGACAACTATGTGAACAATATTAAAAAAGTAGCCTAAACGACGATCACTATGATAAGACTGAAACAAAATAATCATCAATAACTTCTGAGAAATAAATGATAAACATTAACAAAAAAAAAAATGTATAATTGCAAATATAAATGAAAAATTTTTTTAGCTTACCCTCCCAATCAATTATTTCGGACAAAATTTTAATACTCAAAAGAATTCCAGGATTTCACCTTATGAGGGTTCCCATCCGAAAAACCGTTTGTCCATCTTTTGAGCACGAACTTTGTCCAATCTTTGAATTATGAACGAAGCATAAAAGTTAAAAATAACAAAATTCAAGCATTACCCGTTTGATAATCGGACAAATTAAAGGACAAAATTGATGGGTAAAGATAAGCAGTATTGATTAAGGTAAATTATACATGAGTCATACAGGAATGGTTAATATAAGTGAAATAGGAGAAAGAAGAAAACTAACCCTTATAGCTGGGAAAGTATTCAAATAACTAACTGTACTACTGGTTCTGTATTCCTAAATCAGACACATATCCAATCAATTTACCCATCCTTCTGATCTCAAAATTCCCGCTACTCCTTGATCTTCTCTCGTCTTAGCGCCTTCACATGATACGGTACCATTTGATTCGTTATAAGACTCTACACAAATTTAAATTTTAAAAATTTCATTCTCATATCTACTCTAGAATAAGATGGCTATCTATCATATGAAAGATATTTGTGTGTCCGTCTCTCTCTCTTTCTCTCTGTCCGTCCGTCTGTCCGTCTGTCCGTCTATTTTTGTATGACAAATAGATCGAACGAACTTCTCCCTCCTCTCTCTCTCTCTCTCTCTCTCTCTCATTAATTATATTGACCAACAAAAAAAATAAATAAATAAATAAAGCAAGAAACAATTCACGCTCTTTGGCTAAAATGACCTCGTGATCGTAGAATTTGCAACTGAAATGACCGATATTACCTTTGGTGGTATAAAATAGTCGTATGAAATTGATAGCCAAATGAAAATTCGTCGAGAGAAAAGGAAAAAAGAATGCATACCATTATAAATTAGCCTGTTTTTTAGCGAATGTTTGAAATGGATGTGATATTTTACGTATGATATTAACTTTAACAGATACTTTTCATTACATTTTTTAACTTGGACAGATATTTTCCAATATGATATTTGCTATAATACACTTTATCTTTGAAAATTTCCATATTTGAAACGAAATTTAAATATTTGTTTTTGAAATTTTTAGAATTTATTGTGTTAAGATATCATGTAATATTGTGATGTAAATACATACAAATGATATTGTAAAATATTTATTGCAAATTGTTTTTATTAATAAATTTTGCAATAACCGTTCATATTACTTTAAAACATTTTTCGTTCTACTCTATACTATTTTTCAATGATTTTCATGCATATTGAAAGCTATATATATACATATATACTTGTATAAATTAAAATATAACTTTGTAATTTCAAAAATTAAATTTTAAAATGGATGTAAGAAAAGAATGAAAATGTATCATTTCGAATAAGCATAACTTAATGCATATATTAAAAGATATAATGATAGCATTATTTTGACAAAAAATTATCAAAATAGTTCATACACGATTTTTGGAATGCATCCATTATAGCATTTATTTAGAGATGATAATGAGTTATGATTGAAACTATTATCCATCCATCTGATTGTAATAGTATGTTTTGTTTTTTCATTTTACTGCTTCTAATCAAGTATAAAAATTTCTCAAAACAAATTTTATTTTTTTTTTTGTTTGCTTGTTTGGTGGAACAAATTATGTAATAGCATTTAAATGCTATATTATATGCAAACCGATCATTTTTCTTTTGTAATTTCCTTAAAAGGTATAATCTTTCATTTCTTACATTATTTTAAATTGATTAACATTCTTTAATTTAAACTTTTCCCCTTCCAGACACATCCTCTTACTTTCCTCTCATTAATTTTTTCATTCCGTTTCAATTTTAAATTATTGCTGTCATTTTAATATCAATATTGTCATTTTAATATCAACTCTCGTTTTTCTAACGGTGCAACCACCATTCGCTCCGAAAGAAAAAGTTAAAATATTATGTCTGCTTAATTTATTTTTAGAATTGCTATCGATATTGTTATTCTAGACTTATTATTATAACATAACCAATCACATACTCACAAAGTTAAAAAACTAAAAAACTAAGCTTTGCCTCTATTGACACTGCAAAGATTCAATCGTTTTGTTTCCGAATACGGTTAAGGGAGGAAATTTTACTCTAGAAAGAAAAAATAGCTATCGATTGAAAAAAAAATTTAGGTTAAGTTGTAAATATTTACACAATTAGAAGTATAATGAGGTGTGATGCCATCTTAGAAGCGAAGTAAAAGGGATGAACTATAAATTTCTTTTTTGTAATTCTCGAGGAAAATCAAAAAATGATATTTCTGTTCTCTAAAAGATTTTTGTACGCTATTACTTGTAAACGTGTTTTGAGGAATACTTGTGGGTTGTATCTGAAAAGCCTAATGACGACTGGTCTAGAAGTCAAAAAACTAAAAAACTAGGTTAAAAAGCATGTTTTCGTCATTCGTCAAATCAGAATTACTAAATGCAATGTCTAAAGTCGTAGTACTGACTAACATTGGCTTTTCGCATATTTTGCAGAAATGATGACAGTTTTATTGTTACTAATTGTTGCATTTATTCTAATTATAAAATATGCTAAGCAAGCCAAGCAGAAGATAGTACAGAAATGGCATTTAATTCAATTAATCAATAATTTCCTGGGCCAAGTTTTTTGGAAATCCTTGCAGAAATACTAAAAATAGTGATTGAAAAATTTAACGAAATTTACAGATCCGGTGTGAAATGGTTCAGAGCAAGACGGATTCTAACGTCAACATTTCATTTCAATATTTTGCATAAATACGTTGAAGTATTTAATGAGCAAATTATAAGGATACAAAAGGTCTTTCGTATTATAATTTTTGTTTGTGGATCCGAATTCTCAAAATTTATTTGATAAAAGCTTTAACATTCCCTGAAGAATGATTAATTTCACTTTTAAATGATTTGAGTTGACCGCAAACTTCCTTATCACCGTTTTCAAATATTTCGCCGATTTGTTCCTAATGAAAAGTTTACTTTCTCAAAATAAATTTCTTTTTAAACTATGTTTCAGATTTTGCTGGAAATTTTGAATGAACATTGTGACACTAACAAAACTGAAGAAGATGATAACTGTTGGCTTCTTCTTTGTATGAATTTGCTACAGTTTTTCAAATATTCAGTTCAACTAACTGAATTGAATATTTAATGAGCTGTCCAGCTTATCAAAGAATATTTTAATATATATAGCAGTTTTAATAATTTCTGTATTTTATTTCTCCAATCATAAATGATGGATCAGTGAATTTTGGACAGTTTATGAATGGGGTCGATTGTTTGTTGGAAGAAAACTATAAAATTAAAAATGCATTACTTTAAAAAATTCCTCAAAAAATATCTGAATTCTTTTCAAAAGTGATGTATAGTACAGGAATTAAAGGAAAAGTGAAATGAATATCACAAATCACATTTATGAAGCATGAAGAGAAAGCAGATCGAAATATCGAAGAAAAAATCTACAGTTACAAACAAAATAAAAGCGTTCAGCTCATGTAAAATCATACAATTGAAGTAGTGCATCCAGAAAAGTCGAGATTTAAACAAATGCAGTAACTGGTTTATTTTAAAGAATTTATAACAAACCGATTAACGATTCGAATACTTTGAAGCATAGAAAAATCATAATTACATTTCTGCCAACCTACAATTTTTCCTCAATAAATCTATGTAATCATAAATACGGACTGCAGCAAGATTAAATAATTTTCAGATTTATTCCTGTCACCAATTCAGTGACCTAATATAAGAAATTCATAAATAAGCTATTTCTGAAGTAACATTTGTAAATTTTGTTTGAAACTTCCGCTAATGTTTAGCTCTAAAGATTGGCAGGTAATGGATATCATACTTTTGGTCATTAGGAAGGATTATTAATAAATAATATTCATTTCATTACAGCTAATAAATACTATGTAAATACATTTACTTTAAATTCTTAAATTTCTTTTCTGATTTCAACGAAGCATATAGTTATGTCAATTTATTTTTCGTTTTTTTTTTTATCATATCGTTGTGGAAGTTTTCGTGTTTATGTAGTAAAGACAAATAGTTATGACAAAGATTTTCCGAGACAATCCTGGTAAGCATTGAATTTCCGCAGAAGATGGGGTAAATTTGCATTCATTATCCCAGTGATTCTTGTCACAAAAGTCGCAAGGTCTTTTCGTTTCACTCCCTTTTAAGTTTAACTTTTCTTTAAATTTATATGGTCGAAGTTTCATTTGGAATATATCGAAAATATGATTTCGACTTCTCCTTTAATCGATGCTTGTCCTTTTTTTGCATTTAGAGACCGACTTTTCGTTAGCTCCTCATTTCTTAACATGATTTTCTCGAGAAAAGTGTCGCCGTTTATTTGTTGATCATGGTTCTTGTTCTTTTTGTGAATAACATTTTATTCAATATCCAAGCCGGCAATCAACTTTCTATTATTATCTCAATATTGGATTGTTCCAGGTCTTCACCCATCGCTTACAATTGTCGAATTATTCTTCCGATTGCTTCGATCATTGCTCTCTATTCTCGACCATTTTTCTTGATAGAGCACAATTCGTTATAGAGCGATCTTTTGGTTGAATGTAATTGACGAATTTTTCAGAAAGAACCTTTCTTATGATGTCATAATTCTCTGAGGTTATATCATATATTCTTTTACAGCTTGTAAAGTATCTCCTTTGAGACATGCGATTAAATCAATTTTGCATATTCGGAATGTTTTGAAGATGTACTGCAGCTTTGGAACCATTCAAAAGAATCCCCTCCATAGATTTGGATTATCACCATGCGTGGGCGGCGGTAACTGCGGCAAATTCACTGTTAAAGTGTCAGTTTTATATATTTTTAAGATTATCATGAATTCCTTTCATTTACTTATTAACTTTAAAATGCCTAATTCATTATCGCTTCATCTCGTTTTTTTGTTGGAGCTGAGATTTGTTGAATATATTGCTTCCACTCTTCGTTTGTTGCTTCGAGAGTGCAAAGATGTAATTCGAGACACATTATCCATTCATCGACAATTCTTTTCTTTGTCTCATACTGTTGACGTGTTTCTTCCGGGATTAACATTTGATCTAATGGAGACAAAATCAATGGAATCAAATTATATTTTTAACTCCTTCCCGAAGTTTTTTGCAGCTTTTCTTTCGCCGGTTGTGCAGTTGTAATTATTGTCGCAGATTTTTGCATTTTGAAAGTTTTGAAGTTGATTTGATTTGATTGAGATAGTTTGCTGATTGATTAACTGAGTTGTTGATCCGTTGACGACTTTGTTTAAAAATTTATTTTAGCTGAAGTGGTCACAGCGATTCAGGTAAAGATAAGACGAGAATTTAAGCTAACAACATCTATTGTGACAAATTTTGGATATTTAAATTTTTAAACAGGATGTGATTAATGGGCGTGTCATTATACAGTTAGATTAGCTACAAAGATAGCTATGAAAAGGAATGATTTCACAATAACAATGTTAAAGAAAAACAAGCAATGTTAAGAAAAATCATGAGAAAGGAATGCATAAATGAACATCCGGATCGAAAATAATTTTTATAATGAAAATAATTTTTCTATTTACAAACAAAAAAACGATGTAAAACTCATTCATTTGTATTCATTACAATTTGGTAACCTTTGAAGATAGTGAATCTTCAAACGTTACCAAATCGTCAATCATCTGATTAAACAATTCTTTACAGGAAATACAATTATTTGTTCATAATTACGAAATAATTTCGATTTTTCCGACAACATTCTTGAAGATTCGAGATCTCTTCCTCCCACATTCTATATTAATCACTGATCTATCAGTCAACGGAATCTTTTTCCTTTCACTTCAAATTTTACCCGGAAAGATACGTTTAGTTTTCATAGATACTGTCAATAATTGCTCGAATGTTTCATTTTGTTGCATTTCGTGCGATCATTCCACAAAGAATTCTTGAAATGCTTCTTTGTTTTATGAATTCTGGAAAGATTCATATCAGATATTCTATTCCCTAATATAAATGGAAAATTTCTCTTCGAAATTCGTTCACTTCAATTTATTTAGCTATAAAATTTATTCTCACTTTTCCAAAGTTATTATTAGCATATGTAGAATGTAAAATTCAGGTATAATTATTTGCCTTAAGATACTGAGAAGCAAAAATAGGGGCGGTGATTCCAGCTGTGTAACATTTCTAATTGGAAATCTTTTCTATTGGAAATGATCTTCCGGATGAGCTTAAATGCTTAAGGTACAGAAAATTGAAATTAAAAATTTTCAGATTTTCAATATCAATGCATCTTTACGGTATTACCCTATTGCTCATCTGCGCAATTTCTTTAATCGAGGTAAGCTTCTCAATAGATTACATGACAAATTTTATGTTTAATGAAAGCCTGCTGAATAACAGATATGTAAAATTTTATTTTAAGGCTTGCCCATCATCAGGATCATCAAGAGGACCACCAGGGCCGCCAGGGCGAAGTGGAAGAAAGGGAAAACAAGGAAAGAAGGGACCGCAGGGACCTGAAGGACCACCAGGAGACAAAGGTCCTCCAGGATTACCCGGGTCTCAAGGTATAGCAGGACCGCAAGGAGAAGTAGGGGAAGAAGGAGATGTAGGTGATATGGGACTTCAAGGTCCAAGAGGAAGGGATGCGAAAAGACGATAGAAACAACTGTAGTGGAATCGATCGGCAATAACAAAGCACTCCCTCCCGAGTTTGCTTTCGTTTACACCAACGTGTCAAATTCAATGAAATTTCTGCAACACCTTAAATATACGCTTTTATGTGCAACATTCAAAGTTTACTTATGTGGATTGAAATAGTACTGAACACGAAGAAATTAAAGCATTCGAGCGATCACACAATGAGATGACGGATCAGTAAGTGCATCAACAATAGTCATAAATCATTTTATTTATTAAAAATTTAAAGAGAATCAATTATCATTTTATAGGCGAAATGGAAGAGAAAGTAGCTTTTTGACGTGATCGTGCTAAAATGAAGCACAAAGTTATTCTTTTTTTTTTGTATAATTTTTGACTGAAATGAAAAAATGGTCCTTTTATTCATGGATTATTCAGTCGTATATGCTCATCGAATTAATAAGGTCAAAAAGATTATCATAATTGTTAATTATCGACGTGTTCTAAGACAATATAATTGATTATATATAAAATGCCTTATTATTATTATTTTTTTTTGCTCGTGAAAGCCGCAATTATTAGTGCTATGATTGAAATCATCGAAAACTCGAATATTCGAACTATGATCGTTCGAGAATTTATCACTAACAACTGCTAATGATATCTCTTCATCCTTTAAACTGTCATTTCCTTTCATACAATTATTTGAAATTCGAATGCCAAATTTTTATACTGTTTGTTGCTTCATTTTGAGTTCAATATCATTTCATTTAGCATCAATTAAATGTAAGAAACAAATTCAGCAATAAGTCATTAACAGGCTATGAAATATTTCGAGAAATGAGCCTTAAAATAGCACAAAATATGACAAATTTATGTGACAACGCATGCTAACATAAAATAGTAAATTTTAACAATGATTTTTACATGTGCATCATCTGCAAATGTAAAAATAACTTCACTGGTATGGTTTTTGACGTTAATTTTCATATAAATTGTTGACAAGTTTTTTTTTTTTTTTTACATTCATCATTTCGTTCGTTTATTTGTTATCAAGCAGTTGTCTGTTGTAATTTCTTCTATCATTTTATATCATCAATCGCTGTGTAAGATGAAATCATTTAAATTTTTTTAGTCATTTAATACAATCATATTTAAACTATTCGTGTATCAATAACACTTCCATCATCGTACTGGAATTTGTCAATATATCGGAAATTTTTCTTTAAAAACGAATAGTTCGTGTAAATGGGTTATAACCGTTGTATCAATCATATCTATAATATCTGTCATAAACCCATTACTTTCACATAAAATCAATAAATTGTTAATACCTTATTGATATCAGTAAAAGAATAGTATTGGAGTTTTGTCTGTTAATCGTTAATAAATGATTAACTGAAACAAAATGTTCTATTCAATTCACAATATCTATGCTTTAGGAAAATGTCGGGATTAGGAAAGAGGATTGAAATTGATGATCATCAAGTAGAACTTATTTTACGAAACAAATCGATAAATCTATTAAAGGAACATGAAGTACATTTTAATTAATTCAATAGCTAAATGATATTTTATATGGTTTCAGTTTTTTTTTTTTTTTTTTTAATATGACCTTATATATTCTCATATTGATAATTGTAATTTTAGTATTCAAAATTGATTGCTTCACAAACAGAGATGAAACCGGAAGATATTACCAAAATTAAATATTTTCGATTAAAACTTCTTCCTGAACAATATTGCTATGCAGAATAGTCAGTGTTATTTATGCTAATAAGAAATATTTTTTGATTTTACACTTTGTTATAGAATTAAAAGTTAAATTTAATTTAAACATACAGTGAAAAATTAAAAATTGAAAGAATTCAATCTTTTCTTTCTTAATAGTGTATGAGTCGTGCATGTGAAAATTGCAGTTATTATCCAGAAAATGAACCGTATTGCCTCTATTTTCACAATGTTTTAAATCGATGGTTTATTTATAAAAGTTATCAGCGTGTCAGTAATGTAAGTTTTGTGTTATATTCAATTAACAATGACAAATAATTTTTCATCTGAATTTATTTTATTAATTTCTCTTGAAGTATGAAAATAATCAAGCAATTAAACAAGCATGAGTTCATTTTTCGAATAATTTTTACAATCATTATATTAGTAAAAGAAATAAATTACTTAAAATTTATTGGTAAATTTACTTGAAAAAACTATTTATTTAAAATCATCAAATTACCAGTGAAAGATTTAATAAAGATTAATAATATTAACTAACAAAATATAATTGATAATAATTATCATAATTTAATAGCTGTATGCAATTGATAGTTTTAATGCAAGAGTGTATTATATGGGTGTTATTCCGGATGATATAATGAATCGTGGTGATTTTTATGAAATTAACGATTTCATCTCGTACGTTAATCAGAATTTTTTCTTTTAACTTTGTTTTTTTTTTAATTGTTGTAATGAATATTTATGATTTAATTGTTATGACAAAATTTCACTCGTGAAATTTATATATATATATATTGAAAGTAAAATTAGGAAATTGAAACTTTTATATATTTCGAATCTTAGTATGGTGAAAAAAAAATTTATTTTGAAATGAAATTTGTGCAAAATTTGAAAAGTAATTAATTATAATTTTTTTTTTCTAGGACAGTATTAGTATTACACGGTGAATATAATCGTAAATTGGAACTACAACACGTTACAGGTGGTGGATTTCGATCAAATTTACGATCAATGAAAGGACGTAAAGTTTTACCAACATTTTTAGCATCATATGCAAGAGAACAGGTTATTGATAATATTTGTCCTATTTCTTGACAATAATTCGTTTTTTTTTTTTTGAAACTGAAGAAATTAAAATAAGAAATAAATCAGAATAATTTTTTTGATCCTATTTGTTTAGGCGATGAAAACTAATTAAGTATTTATATTGATTACAATAACAGACAGATAGCAACAAGCTCATGAAAAATAAATTTAAATCATCGATAATTTTTTTTTTTTTTCAGAAATGTGGACCATCAATGATAAAAGTACTGATCGATCGTCATATTGCTGATCTACGAGCATATCAACAAGCAAGAATTCAAAATATTGAGAACAATTTGGAGCAAAATAATATTACTAAACAAATTGAGGTTCATATTCTTACGATTTTTAATTGAATTTCTAATTTGTATATTTCTTTCGAAATCCAAAATAGCATTCCACAATATCATAACAGAAACAAAAGAAAGGTTTTTTTGTTTGAAGTTATCATAAATCTGTCACCTTCGTCATCCATCATTTTTCTAGACTTTCATATCAAATCACAAACATTGGGTTCGTGCTCGGAAACAAATGAGTAATTATGCTGCACTACAGCATAAAATACGAAAAACAATTCCCTTTAAACGATCTTCTGCTACAAGGTTTTCAATTTTCGTTGCTTTTTTTTAAAATTAAATTCAATCTTCACCTTCTGAAAAAATATGGTGTGAATTGAAAAAAAAAAAAACAGAAAAATATAACCTTCAGGAGAATATTTAGCTAAATAAGCTATGAAATTAAAAGATATCATGTATTTAATTCATTTAACAACACATATCAATAATTTTAATTTAATTGAATTTATATTTTGGAGAAAAAAAGAATAATTCCCTTTATAAAATTCTATCTGATTTTTTATAAATTTTGGAATAATTAAACTCATCATGGCTAAAATTAGCTATTTCAATATTTTTTTAGAGCAATTTTGTTGTGGTAGTCGAATAAGATAGCGATAATTTTAAAGGGATAAAATCAAAATACAAATATTGACATATTTGATTATATTAAAAAATTTTGAAACAGATTGATAGTTTTGAAAGGAGTAACTGTGTCGGATTTATGCAACGAATTAATTGATTATCCAATTTGGGTTGGTTTTCATTACTATTTCATGCGAGTGCTCAACAGAAATGGCTTACATATTGTCTATGATGATATCAATTATGCAGTTGTAAGTTTACTTCAATGTTACATTATTTTCTCGCAGACATTTTACATTATCCCAAACAAAATTCAATGATTTTGGTACTTCTTTGGAATTTATAAAATTATTTTGGTACTTTTAAAAAGTCTTTTGAATGTGTCTTGAAAGGAGATTATTTTCTTTATTGCTTATTTAATTCAAGCGACATAATCAATTTTCTTAATCTTGGTCTAATAGTTGATCTATATAAATTTCTAAAATTTATTTAAGTAAACTTATAATTATTCTCGTTGTGAGATCAAAATTTTGAACTGTTACAAATAATTTCTTACAATGAGCAATTATTTCTTAAAAACTATTCTATGGTATTACGGGAAATTATAATTGTTTTAATTTGACTTCAAAGTTTCGAGAATTGCTGACAATTCTTTCGTAACTTTCTTGTTTAAATTTAACGTTTAACTTCGCTTTTTATTTAATAAACAATTTTCTAGCAAGAAAGTGGAAAATTGCGTCATTTACGTATTTTGCCTTCTAAATATACACACAAACCACAGGCTACGACAGTTTTTGGTGAAACAAAAGTTTACAGTAAAGGACAGGTAACAGTTAGTTGGAGTAAAAATTAATAAATTTTTAAACTTCAAAGCATAAATTTATTGAATGAATGAAATTGATGTTATGCTCTTAAAATTAGAAAGTTCTCGCACAATCAACTTTACTTATTCATATATTTATCTATTCTTTTATTTATTTTCCTTCTTCATCCACTTTTCAACAATTTTTTTTCACTC